AAGGTTCTGCCCAATTCGGATTGTATCATCAGCTTTGTGAAGTCCAAGGTTGTGTTCAAGTGTTGTTGGATCCATCAAGAAGAAGTGGAGTTACTCTTTATTTGCAGCTTTTTATTTGTACTTTATTTTGTCCCTGTTCTGTTATAGTTTTTCATTGGTATCAGAGCTTTGTTACCTATGGTGTGCATGTACATGTGCTACACCATATCAGTCCTTTAAAGTAAAAGGGACTGTGAGCAAATAAAAAGAAAGAACAAAAGTGGTTCAGCAGCTTTCTTTTTAGACCCCAAAAATGGAGTCTTTTCTTTTTCACTACTCTTACACATTTGTCTTCCCAAAAGAAAATATTTGTTATCAATAAGAACAAAGCTTACTCTATTTGATTTACGACTCCAACATCCGGTCTACTGAAACGACATCAAGATTCGGTGAAAGCATAAAAGGTTTGAGATCTCTATTACAGAGATCTATCCAGGTATTTTCTAAACTTTTTCTTTACATTTAGGGTTTCAACCCTTTTTTGAGAAAACATTCAAGTAGTGTTTAATAATTTCTTTTTCTTTTCTTCCTGAATACTTGTTGCTTGGTATGATTGATATCTCTACCGAAGTCTATYCTGCGCTATTGTGTGCTAAGCATTTATTTTGTGCTTCTATAAATTTTCTTGGCTTTATCTTGGGTAAAATATTAATCTCATTCTTACAGAGCAAAATTTAAGAAAGCTGATTTCTTTTTTATGATTTTCAGTTAACTGTTAATCATAGTTAATCATAGTTAGATCTCACCAATTTTCTTGACTGAAAATAGCTGCTTGCTCATATTAGCTTACCATTACACTATAAATTTCATTTTATTTTTGCTTGCAGCCTCCTTGTTTATTCATAGACATAATGGTTGGATCTGCAATAGCAAATGAATTAAACAAAACTGAAAAACTTAACGGTAGTAATTTTCCTCTCTGGAAACGTAGGATGAGACTTATACTAGATCAAAAAGACGTTGAATACCATATTAGAACAAGATGTTCCCTCTGTTCCTGATGATGATGCATCATTGGTTGTTAGAAAAGCCTATAAGAAATACTTAAAAGATAATAAAACTGCCCGCTCTTGTTTGTTAACTTTTATGGAATCAAACATTGAAGTCTTGTTTGAAGAATATGGGAATGCTAAACAATTATTTGATGCAGTTAAGGAAGCTTATGGAAAGGTAACTGAATCTTATCTTCAAATGTTAATAGAAAAATATTATGCTTGTAAGATGAAAGATGGAGATTCAGTAATAGATCATATTAATAAGATGAATGTTATTGCAAAAGAATTAGTAGCAGTTGAGAATCCCATCCCCGAAAAGATTCAGGTGTCTACTATATTGCATAGTCTTCCAGACTCTTGGGATAATGTGGTTGTTGCCTTAAATCATTCTGGAAGAGACATTAATATGAAAAATCTACCAACTTTGCTAGGCCTGGAAGCTGAACGAAAGAGCAAAAAGGCTCAATCATCATCATTGATAGTTGCCACTAGTCCAATTGAAACTAATAAAACTACTAAAAAAATTGAGAACTATAAAAATAAAGGAAAGAAGTATCATAATAAAYCTAATTTTTCAAAGAAGTTCAAGAAAACTAAAGGCAAATGTTTTATTTGTGGGAAACCAGGCCATACCAAATATAATTGTTATCAAAACAAGAAAAATAAAGATAACAATCATAATAAATCAACAAAGAAAGATATCATTTGTGTGGTTTCTGAATCATTACTTRCTGATATTGATTATGTTGATTAGTGCATTGATTCGGGTTCTTCTCGCCATGTATGCAAATCCAATGAACTATTTATGGAGATGAAGGAAATGAAGCCTAGCAAACATAGGATCTTCATAAGAAACAATACCTATTGTGATGTACTAGGTGTTGGGAAAGTGAAAATAGTCATCAATGAAAATAAAAATCTTATCTTAAATGATATAATGTATACACCTAGTGTTAGGCGGAATCTTTTGTCTGTACCCCTTTTGGATGAAAAGGGTTTTGAAGTTCGTTTTAGGGGAGGAAAAGTGTCAATTGGAAAACATGGGAGAGTCTTATTGTTTGGAACCAAGTCTGATGGTCTGTATCATTTATCTATTAATAAAGTGAATGTCTCTTCTGCTTATTTTGTTTGTGTATATAATGTGGATGAAAATGCCTATATATGGCACATGAGACTTTGCCATATTAATAAAGACAAAATGATGAGGATGTCTTCAAGTGGCTTAATACCTAAGATGGAAATTAATTTTAAATACTGTGAAGCATGTCTTAGTGAAAAATTATCCAAATTACCATTTAATAAAGGAAGAAAATCAAAAGAATTGTTAGATATTGTACACTCAGATGTTTGTGGTCCACTAAATGTCAAGACACACAAGGGAATAGAATACTTTGTGACCTTTATTGATGATAGCTCTAGATATGGATATGTTTATTTGATTAAAAGAAAATATGAAGTATTAGAAAAATTTAAAGAATACAAATTAGAGGTAGAAAACCAATTAGAAAGAAAAATAAAGATATTAAGAAGTGATAGAGGTGGTGAATATATATCTAATCTATTTAATGATTTTTGTATACAAAATGGGATAAAACATCAATTAACTATGAGTTATACTCCACAACAGAATGGAGTTGCTGAACGTAAGAATAGAACTCTACTTGACATGGTAAGGTCAATGTTATCATACTCCAATCTAGGAACACATTTCTGGGGTGAAGCATTAACTACAACAATTTATATTCTAAACAAAATACCAACTAAAGTGAATAAATTGACACCTCATGAAATCTCGACCGGTAGAAAACCATACCTATATAATATTAAAATTTTGGGTTCTAGTGCCTATGTTAGAACTCCTAGTCAACTAAGAAACAAACTAGATAACAAAAGCATAATATACACCTTTATAGGATATTCAGAAAACAACAAAGGTTACAAATTCATAAATCATAAATCTGATGGATCTATTGAATTCATAGAAAGTCGGGATGTTGTGTTCTTAGAAGACCAAATAAAAGATGAAAATGATAGTCTTGACTCAATTATTTGAAATAGAAAAGGAAGATATACAAAAAGAAACATATACAACAAAGAATGATACATTATGAAAAATTCAAAGAGAAATGTTTCCCTCTTCCAAATTGAAAGATTATTATACCTTCTTAAATGAAGAATCAATAGATGATCCAATAAGTTATTCGGAGGCTATGAAAGCACCCGAAAAAGAAAAATGGAAAAAAGTCATAAATGAAGAACTAAATTCAATAAATAAAAATCAAGTGTGGGAATTGGTAGATTTGCCTAGTAATAGAAGACCAATTGGAAGCAAATGGATCTTCAAAAAGAAATTAAAAGTAGATGGTTCTATAGAAAAATACAAAGCTAGGCTTGTAGCAAAGGGATATATACAAGTTGAAGGTATAGATTATGATGAAACTTACTCACTGGTAGCAAGATTTACTTCCATTAGAATTTTAATGTCCTTAGTTGCACATTTTGATTTARAGTTATGTCAGATGGATGTAAAAACCGCTTTCTTAAATGAAAAGCTAAATAAAAAAATTTATATGACACAACCAGAAGGATACATAAGAGAAGGGCAGGAAAATAAAGTATATAAATTGAACAAGTCTCTATATGGACTAAARCAATCCTCTAGGATGTGGTATTACACATTTCATAATTCCATCACAAAATTTGGGTTTATCCCAAATCCATTCGATCACTGTGTTTACTCAATGAATAGTGGGAGTTCTTTATTATACTCCTTATATGTTGATGATATTCTAATAGCTAGTAATAATATATCAATGATAAATGAAACAAAACATTGGTTAAGTACTAATTTTGAAATGAAAGACATGGGAGATGCTAGCTATGTACTTAGAATAAAAATAGAAAGAGACAGAAAATATAAGACATTATCTCTTTCACAAGAAAATTATTTACAAATGATACTTAAAAGGTTTAACATGATAGATTGTAATGGAATCGATACTCCTATTTGCAAAGGAACTAAAATGTCTAAGGACATATCACCTAGAAATGAAAGAGAAGTTACATGAAGAATATTCCTTATGCACAAGCAGTTGGTAGTTTAATATATGCAATGTTATGTACAAGACCTTATTTGTCTTATGTTGTTAGTCTTGTTAGTAGATACCAAAGTAATCTAGAAACTGCACATTGGTCAGCCATTAAAAGAATTCTAAGATATTTACAACAAACCAAGGATTATAGACTAACATACTCTTGTGATCAATTAGAATTGATGGGTTACTGTGATGCTGATTTTGCAGGAGACCCGGATGATAGAAAATCTACTACCGGGTTCATCTTCCTTTTGGGAGGAGGAGCCATTTCTTGGGCAAGCAAAAAGCAAGGCTGTGAAGCCAAATATACTATGGAAGCTGAATTCATAGCTTGCAGCACAACAGCATCAAAAGGAATTTGGATAAAAAGGTTCTTGGAAGAATTAAAAATACTAGGTGCACCTGAAGGAGCTATCAGAATGTTCAATGATAATGAAGCGGCCATCAAGACAATAAAAAATGGAGAAATTGGTCCAAAAGAAAAGCACATTGACTTGCAATACCGGTATCTTCATGATATCTACCAACGGAATGAGATCCTGGTAGAGCACGTGCCGATAAATGATATGGTTATTGATCCATTGACAAAGCCCATTGGGGTTAGTGATTTTAAAAGGCGCGTGGTGTCAATGGGATTGAGAAGCAACCAAACATCTCGGGCCTAACTGGCTAAGTGGGAGATGTTGGAACGGGTGGCCATAGGCCCTCGATTTGGAATCCTCAACGTGTAGGAGAATCCACTGGCCATGTGAAAAGCCACACGTTGATGGAGTAGCTTAATGATATCATCTCTGTGAACACAATACAACACACACCAATTATAATTTTTGTTATATGTTATTATTTATTTTCTAGTAAAAAAAAAATCTGTTTTCTGTAAACTGTTTTTGACTTGTTCACAGGGTGGTTATTGGGTCTAAATTGGATCCATTTCAGCTTTTGACTAAGTCAGCAAGAGGATGTTTGGCTTGGAATGGGCTGAGTGATCATGTGGTTTAAAACCATGATCATTGAGACACTTGTCTCAATCCGAAGGGGTAAAACAAGATAAGTGTTGGTGAGTAAATCTTTTGCAACGGCTCTTATCTCCTTTTTCATAGGAGAGACGTTGTGGCAATCGCCTATAAAAGGGAATGTGCAGAAGTCACAAAGCTCTACCCAACAAAGTTATTCACTTTATTGGAAGGCTATCAAAACCTCCAACAAGGTTCTGCCCAATTCGGATTGTATCATCAGCTTTGTGAAGTCCAAGGTTGTGTTCAAGTGTTGTTGGATCCATCAAGAAGAAGTGGAGTTACTTTTTATTTGCAGCTTTTTATTTGCACTTTATTTTGTCCCTATTCTGTTATAGTTTTTCAGGTCTTACAATTTGTTTCATCATTGACGAAAAATATGCTGGTGCCATCATGGTTTATAAATGCGCTTGATAAGGATGTATATGCAGAACCAAAGCAAATCTTCACTCTAGTTCAGTTTTGCAGATGTTTTTACACTGAATGGGAAGTAAATTTGTTTTTCCACTGTTTTTACATTCAAAATAGGAACAAAGTTTGTTTCCAAAAAATGGAAGCAAGCTTTGCAGTCAAAGTTGGTCAATGTAAAGGGAGGAAGACCATCCAAATCCCCACCAGTCCTTCAAATGGGAAACAAAGTGGGTCTGCAGTCTGCTCTAAACTTCTAGGTTCTAGCATTCACAGAAGAGTGGAAGAAGAGGACGGGGAGCATGATTTCCCAACAGAAGCCACCATGTCAAGGGTTATAAAACTGAACGTTTGTCTAGGATAGAAAGGATTGCTAAGATTAGTTCAATGAAGGCATGAAAGTAAGCACTACCACAGAGCGTTCAAATCCCCATCAGATTGTCACTTCCTTCAATATCCTCTTGTAACAAATAGTTCCCAAGGTTATAAATGGGTAGACCACTTATATGGTTTTAAATGAGTTAAGACTTTCCTTACAAACTTGTGCACAGTATTGATCATTGGGACCAAGGGACCAACATCCATATGAAGTAGAGATCTAAATTTCCTATCCATTTAACCAGCTCCAGAAAAGAAAATGCAAATTAGAGTAGTTGAATATACACATACAGAATTTACTACTCAGAGATCTTATTTCATCAATCATACGGCTGTAGTTTTGATAGTAAGATGCCAATGGGCCATCTAGAATTGGTAGTTCTCATTATAAAAATCTGATCTTCAGTGGGTGTTAAATAATGAGATTCCATTGTTTTGTGCATGTATGTGTGTTGGGGGAGGGGAGGGGAGGTATGGCCTGAGTTTTATTAGAGAGCCCTTGATTCAAAACCCATCTTTACAACTTCAGCAAATGACAAAACAGCAACCTTCTTGCATGCTAGCCTATTCATATCACAATTCTATATGAAAAAAAGTCACTATTTAACACCACAGTGAACTCATCTCATCAAAAAACAGTTTTGTTGTATAATAACTTAACTCTTGTTAGCTTACATATAAACTTAAATTAACACTTCCTAGATACCCAAAAATTGAGAAACTTGATATCATTTTATTACGGAGTACTCCATTAGAAAGCACAAGAAAAGGGGGCAAAGGGATCATTACTTTTCTTTGTTTTGTCAGCATTTAAGCTACAACTACAGAGTTGGTGATTGATGTATAACACTGCATAAAATGTCAGATACATGAACCAGAATATATGAAAATGTCAGATACATGAGAATAAAAACATCAAAGAAAAAAGCTTCCAAGATTACATTTCACACGTGTTATTTGGTTAGACAAAAAGCTGCTAGGAGCAAGATTACCTGTCCATTTACTGAAGTAGTTTTATCAAACAGAAAGTCATCCTTCCCTTAGATGTTGGATTGCAGTGTACATCTTCCGCCGAGTCCCAACAGCATTAATGCCCATCTCTTTGAGATCTTCAATTGTAAGTAAGGGCAGCACATCCTCATCCACCTCATGCATTTCAAATATATCAGAATACCTACCAAACCCTAGCTCCTCCAACCATCTTCTAACACTATTTACACCACTACTACCCATATCGTCATATCCACCACTTGATTTATGAGCCATACAGGGCCCATCATGAGAATACAAGGCACCATCTCCTCTACAAGCATCCCCTACCCAATGCTCATCAGAATCTCCCCTTGCCTGTGCATCGGAAATGGGTTCTAAGCAGTTATTCTCATGAGCTTCTTTGCTTGTATTTGAAGTATCACGGTCTGATGAATCCTTGAACCCCTCAACAGTGTAAACATCGTAACATGGATTTGATGCAGGACCAAACTCGAAGCCCCTAAACCCTCTTTCATTTCCATAACTCATGTCAGGACAAAACTTAGAACTCCAAGCTCTGCCAACAACACCATTGTTACCTCTGGTACTCCGCCCTCTCCTCTTCATGAGCCGGCCCTTGCGCTTTACTGTTCCAAAATCCAACATAGGTTTACCAGCATTAGTTTCACCCGTACTCGCAAATTCAGAAACCAATTTCGAAGAGTTAGGGTTCCTATTCTCTCTGCTGTGCTGCGTATCGGACGAAACCCTTGGAGATACACTAGGATCTGAAACTGTTAATCCGGATGACCTTGGCATAGAAAATCCATAAATGGGATTATTAAAATCAGTTTCTCTATAGTTATCCAGCTCATATTTCCATCTATTGTCTTCCAAACTTTCCTTAGCTTTGTGAGAAAAGCCACAAGCAAAAGCCGCAGGAACGTCCCCTATCTCTACCAATCTGACATTTGGGCGTCTCTGCCTCTTCGAGTCCATGCTAAGAACCAACATATCTCGGAAACACTATCAGCTAAAACATGAACCAAACCCTAAAAACCATTAAAAAAAAAAAAAAACCACCAAAACAAAATACTAATCAGTCAGTAAAAAAAGAAAGTAAACCCACAAGCCAATCAGAAAGCCGAGATTCAGGAAATCCTTAAATCACCCAAACCAACCCAAAATTGATGGAACTAACATCACCCGCCTCTCGGAGGCGTAAACAAAAGATAACCCAGATAAGTACAAAATTCATCCTCTAAATTCAACGATTGCTAACAAAACGAAAACAATAAAAAGGGAATGCTTGTAAAGAGCATAAGAGTGAGAAGTGCACCTTATGAGACGGTTTCACACTCGCACTGTTCGATGACTTGTCCCAACCCCCAATGTGGAAAAGCTTACGATGGTTGCCTTGCTTACACCCACACATATAGATACATATAGAGGAACGAAACGAAAAGGAGGAAAACTGCGGAGTTTTTACCTTGTGGTGGCCATCTGGTTTGAGGGTCGAGGGTCGAAGCTGTTGTGACTGGAGTCAATGGAGACTGATTATCATTATATATTATCCTTTTCAAATTTAAAGTGCAGAAAGGAATGAGTAGGATTGTTAAGGTGTAACAACTAACAAGCAACAACAAGTCAACAACAACTAAAGCCCGATAACCCCACCCCCATTCATGTTACTCAAGTGGCCCACCTTTGCTTTACAGCATTTCAGAGTTCTGACGTTTTATTAATTTGTTTCTACAGCATTCCTCCAGTCCCCATATGATTCTAGATCCCTCGCCTCATTCTTTTACGTTTAAAACAAAGACACAATGGCAAAAAAAGAATCTCTCTTTTTCCCATTTAAGATACTTCGGAGGTGAACAGCAGATAAAGGACAGCGATGCGTGTTGTTAAACATACTTTCTGCACCTGACACGTGGAATTTGCTCTTCAATTCTAGGGGTGGCTGGCCAATTGCATTAGGAGTTAGGACTTGGGCTTGAAAATTCCAAGCCCATTGACATCACATTGTACCATCTAAAAATGGGTTTTGTCGCCAGACCAGAATCTTCTTCTGATACCGGGAGTTCCCTTGCTTTTCAAAAACCACTGGCCGATCATGGTGTCAATTCAGAAGGGATAACGATTAGTATTTACCTAATATTTAATATTAGGAATTTAGGATTGGGAGTAATGTATTGGAGATAGCCAGATAGGTCTAAGGGTAGGTGTAATAACGTATTGAATCATTGACTTGGTAATGCTTTCAGCTCCAGTTTTCTTAAAACCCGCATATATCAATTAAAAAATAAAAATCATTGACTTGGTTATGTATACATGGATCCCGGCGGTTTAACTGTTAAAGTTTTCATACGCCCGGATTAGAGTGATCTTTTTATAGCTGACTTTTGGAGATCTATATTTCGTTTTTTAGCCCAAAGAACTCTTTTTTGCTTCAAATTTCAATTTTTTTATTTATAAAAATCTAAAATTATAATAATAATAATAATAATAATAATAATAATAATATATAAATTAGACCTAGTATGAACCACATATAGGTATTTGGCTTATGTCCATGGTCTAACCTATTTAACCTGCAGGCAAAAATGGTTCAGCGCCCGCGTTAATTTTTAAAACTCTACATGACAGTTCATAAAAATGAAAAACCCTAGTTTTGATTGTTTATTAGGCATGACCCCGTACTAAGTACGGGCCCATTAATATAAATAGAAAAACTTTCTGATAGGTACTTGTATTTTAGGTTGAGTGCCAATTTAGTATCCGAACTTTAAAATACGATAATTTAATACATGAATTTTCATTTTACAACAATTTAGTGCCCAACCTTAACTCACCGTCAGTTTGAACCATTACGTGATATCAGGTGCGGGCTAAAAATTTCCGTAATACCAAAACTAACATTTATGAAAACTCTGACCGTTCCATCCCTTTCTCTTCATTCCGAACGCTCTTCACATGAATTTGCCATTAAAACCCTATCTCGTTGAGCGGTTGAGCCCTAGATCTTGATCGTTCAAATGGTCCAGCTCCAACGATGGCGTCACTAGTGGGCTCTTCTTGTACGTATCTAGATATATACATGTGCCATGCATAAATCTTTCTTCCTCTGAAACCCTGCACTGTATCCCTTTCGATGTCATCAATGGCATCTACCTCTACACAGCTCTCCCTCTCAAGGCCCTCCCACTTCCCTTCCTTCAATTCACTAAAACCCCATTACCAAATCTCGCTCCCCCTCTCGACAAACCACCAGAAATCCAGTTCCTTTTGTCCTCTCTACATCGCAAACAGCGTCTTAGATAGGAAGCCAAAACACTCCATCGCCGCTGCCCCTGCCACTGCCACTGCCTTCACCACTGCTACCATCACCACCTCACCCTCCTCTTCATCAACTTTCGTTCCTCGATTCACCCCCGATGAACCCAAAAAAGGTGCTGATGTGCTCATCGAAGTTCTCGAACAGGAAGGTGTAACCAACTAACCACTCTCTTTGCCTACCCAGGTGGAGAGTCCATGGAAATACACCAAGCCCTCACCTGCTCCTTCATAATCTGCAATGTTTTCCCCAGACACGAACAAGGTGGCATCTTTGCTGCAAAAGGGTTACGCTCGTGTGTTGAGGCCTTCCGAGAGTCTGCGTTGCCACCTCGGGTCCCGGTGCCACCTGATGGAGCACGAACTGGATGCTCCCTTCTCGAGGATGGCCTAAAGCTTCATTGTGTGATGAGCTGGTTGTTCTGCAAAACAATGAACTCAGAGAACTAAGGGTGGCTAACCCAACGAGGCCGCTCCAATGCTTAAGTTAATATTCTTGCGGGAGACTACTAGCTGAAAATGAGCTAGAGTGTTAGTGTGCAAATGATATTATGCGTACCTGGGCCCCGAAGGGGTTGCTGCCGTGAACCTTATGGAATAGTTCCAGGATCTTCGACCTAGATGGATGAGGTCGGTTCCCGTTTTATCCGGAGGGTATCGTGAGTTTATGATCCTTATCGTTATCGCCCGATCCGGACGGAGAGAGGATAAGGCCTACCATCGTGTGGCGTAATCCCATGGGGTTCGGAATTGCCTAGGGACAATTACGTGTCACTTTGGCTCCTATGTCACGAACTAGTTGGAACGCCGAGGTGACCTGATTCCAAAGTGGCTACATATCGAGGTAGCTTTGCGCCGAGGTGATAGAAAAGTGGGTTTTAACTTTCAAGCAACCTAGATTGTTTGAAAAAGTGGTGTCGTACATTAGTCACCTCTCGAGTTTGCACTTCCTAGTGACGATGCTGGTTGACTCGGTTGCAGGGAATGGGATTAGAGGAGGAACAAAGGAAAGGAGGGAAGAAGAGAGTGGGAGGTAGAGAAAAATGGGAGAAGAGAGAAAGAGAGAGAGAGAGAGAGGAAGGAGAATGTGTGTGAGAGAGAGCAAATGAAATTGTCAAAGATTTTTTTCCTTTTCCGACAATGATCTCTAATGAAAGTCATTTTTTTTCTTTTTTGGGATGATCAAAGTATTTATGGGCTAGTTAAGTTTTAAGAGAAAACGATAAGAAAAAAAAAATAAAAAAAGTTTAGTGGAGTATTTTGATAATTTAGCACCCTCTGCCATTTGACTTATCAACCGAGGGAATTTTTATGGCAATGTAAAAATTCAGGGGTTCTTTTGTCCCAAATTAAAGTTAAGGGGTCTTTGTCACTGATCTATAATATAAGGGGGTTTTTGTAATTCACCAATCAAATAAAATAAAATCTAAACAAAAGTAAATCATAATCTACTCTATTTGGGTTATGCCGGTGCGGGCCGTGCCACTCTCCTCGATGAAAATTTTGAGGGTCGGCCCGCCATGGCCCACGACCCAAGCCCATGCGGGGCCCGTGCTATTTATTTAAAAAATTAATAAAAAACTTAAAATTTTAATTTTATATGAACTTTATGCATACAATTGCTTATATATACAATAATTAAATAAATTAGTATAATAAAATAAAATATTTATTTTATTAATATATTATATACTACATATTATTATATAATTATAATTTATATAATATTACATAAATATATATAATATATATATATATAATATATGGGTCGTGGGCGACACGACTCGCTTGGTTGTACCGTGTTGTGCCGGCCTGTGGACCTAAAACCCTAGGCCCAGCACGGCTCGCATGATCGTGCCAGGCCACGGGCGGCACGACCCGATTCACCTCTAAGCTTGGGGGGGGGTCTTGGGTTGGGGGGATGGGCTAACCGACTAACCCCCATTCTATAGCCCCATGGAGTAAAAAAAGAAAAAGCCCAATTTGTCTCCATAACCCCATCCAGTTTGTTACTCACCGTTATAACGACCATTGATAGCTATACCGTTATATCACAAGGCCAAGGCAAGTCCACGTAGAGTCAAGGTTTTCAAGACTTTAATATAGAGGTGTAAATCTGCCCATCCAGTTTTTTGGGGAGTTTTTTTTACAGAAATATCATCCAATAAGTATAAACAACTATATAGCGAGGTATTTATGTATTTTGGTTTTGGGGGAGAAAGAATGGCACAAATGCCCCCCATCAACTATGTAACGACCTAATTTGGGGGCATTTAGGGTAAAGTGATAAATATTTTACAATGATCAAAATACCCTTTCCAATAACTAAAAAACAACTATTTTAAAGCATTTGGGCAATTGAATTATTTTCAATTCCTATAAATAGCCCTATCCAATTCTCGCCACCATGGCATGTGAGATGTGCATTTGTTTTAAAGATTTGCTGGATGCTAAAGATAGATTACAAGACAAAGGAGGGCATGACACTACACCTTATGTTTCACCTGAAGCAGATGATCAAAGTTAAGAACAATAGGAGAAAATGATGAAATCAATATTTTTTGTACATAGCATTTTTTTCAAATTATTTTAAATTTTGTTTAAATTTTATTTGATTTATTTGATATTTTTAATAACATAATTTTTATTTTCAATTTATAACTATATTGTATTTTTTATGTTTTATTTATTTATTCTATTTTCCAATTTTCATATTTCATCCAACCATTGTATGCTTAATATCATTCAAATTTAAATGAAATAAAATTCATATTTTTTCCAATTTATTATTCACTTTGAGTCTTTGTCTCTTTGACTTCTTATTTGGTTAAATATTTTTTATTTAATTTCTTATTTTTCGAATAGTTTCTAAAGGAAAATTAAATATTTTAGTTTTACTTACTAAAAAAATAAATAAATAAAAAATGTAAAAAAACAAAAAAAATTGACCCGATTAAGCCTTTGCCCAAGGCCTGGCCTATGGCCCAATCCAATATGATCTGCAGCCCGCTCGACCCAGGCTTACAATATATCACGGTGCAACACGAACCCGCACAGGCTTGAGCCGTGGGCCATATCGGGCCGACCCCCAAATTATCCTTCTATTCGAGAGTGCGGCACTGACCGTTTTACACCTCTACTTCAGTATCGTTATTTGATTTGGCGCTACTGGCTTTAACGTGTTAAGGAAAAGATATGTGGATCTTCCCGCGTTTCTGAACTCGAAGTCTAAAGCTCCCCAACCGACTCTTTTCCAATTACCAAATGCCATCCCGTGAGCCGTGGTGGTTAGTAATTTCCATTGGCGCACGTTAGCAAACACTAGTTCAAATTTTCCCGTACAAAAAAATAACCATTTCCCTTTATCTTTGCCTTATCAAATCCAAATTATTGTCATAATAATAATAAGCACAGAAAGAGAGGAGAAACAATCGAAAGTAACGTTTTCCGGCCATGGATTTATGGCAGAAAGCTAGAAGCTTTGCCGAAGAAGCAGCGAAGAGATCTCAGGAGATCACAAAAGAAGCGATCTCAGCAGCGAAGCGATCTCCGGAACTAACAAGGGGAGCGGCCAGGATCTCTGATATCGTCTCAGAGACCGCGAAGAAATCGAAGGAGATTGCTGCCGAGGCCACGAAGAAAGCCGATCAGATCAAGATCGAGGCCTTGAAGCGAGCCGATCAGATCAAATCCCTTGCCGAGGGGATCTCGCCCCAGATTCCTGCCACCGTAATCTCACTTATCGACTCTTCTGCTGCTTCCTCGTCTTCGGATCTCGAGAAATTTGGCGTCACCCAAGAACTGCGGGAGTTTGTCAAGGGCATTACCATTAATACATTTCAGGACTTTCCCATTGAAGGTGCTTGATTCATTTCGATTTTCTTTTGGACAATTTTTTTTGTCTACTGTCACGTCTGTTTTGGTTTATTTTTGTTTCTCCATCGAATTCTTTAATTATGAAGATCTTCTTAGTTTAGGGTTTTGGTTGAGTGTTTTTAATTTACGCATTAATAATTTGGGGGCGGGGGTGTTTGTTGACTTTGGAGGAAACTTGCGAGTAGTGGCATTAAGAGGAATACGGGATGTATTAGTATAATGTATTACAAATCCAATAGTGTGGCTTTTGAAATTTTGAAGTTTAACTTATATTGAGCAAGAATTTGAACGTCTAACGCAAATTCCATAATGTATTGGAAGTTACGTAGATGTAAATTGGTCTAAACTGTGCTTGGTGTTTTAAAGAGTACGTGAAGTCGTTCAAGTTTGTAGTTGGTGCTTCTAGAGTAAATATTCTTACTTTCAACTTCTAAGGTTTCTCGGTATTTGTCTACCATCCGTGAACATGTAGGTTTCTTGTTACAAATGTCTAATGAATTTTACTTGGATTAGGTAAAATTGGTCTATTTAGCTTATGTATGTTGGGTAGTACTGCATTTTGAGAGAGTTTGATTAAAACTGGCAAGGATCATGTTGTTCTTTCTATCCTGACTGGAATGCATTCAAATCATGCTCCTTCCCTTTCTTACAGTTAAATATTAAACTTGTTTGTTTGACATGTAGATGAGCCTGAGATCCCTGATGTCCCAACAGTCTCAAATGTCCGGAAGGACCTTACAGAGTGGCAAGAGAGACATGCCACTCTAGTTCTCTCGACTGTCAAGGTAGTTCCCTGCTTCTCATCTGGACATATTTGTACTGATAAAATGAAATATAACTTACTGATTTTACAATCTTGTTATAAAAATCCGCAAGTGCTTTTCCTGCTGCTTTTAACTTTTTTTAAGTAGATGTGAAGTTGCTAATTGCAGCAGAAATTCTTTTGCACTATCTCTAAGGAGTTAATTTTCTTTGGCTGGTCTGAGGGGAAGTAATTATTTTCTGAACTTTATAAGAAGAAATTAGAAGGTCTTATTCAACTCTTATTGCTATCAGAAAACATGAAAAAAGGGAGTGCTTCCTGTCTCAGAGAAGAGAATAATGCCTGCAGCTGCACGCCTGGAAGAGAAACTGGACCCTTGTCTTTATAAAATGACAAATAACAAGCTGGTTCAGGTGGATTGAACAACTTAAACTTTAGGTTTCAACCCTCATCACCAAATAAAGGCAAATTGAATGGTGTATGTTAGCCTCTGGAAACGAAATGATTGTAGGCTCAAAAGAGAAAAGACAATAGAGGAAATGAAATGATTGTAGGCTCAAAAGAGAAAAGACAGGTTTGTTAATGCAGTTATTGTTTAAAAAACACTTGGAAGAAAAAATATGACTGCAACTTTGAACACTATTGGAGCTCTATACATGGACTGGAAATACCTACATCTTCTCCATATTTCTATCTGCATATACTTCATCCTTCTTTTGCTGGAATGCTTTTGGAGGGCTGGAAGTGTCACATGGACTCTATGGATCAAGTACCCATGTCATTCACTCATCAGATTTCAACACTGCAGGATTCTGAAGGGTATTTGTATGTAGAATTTTCCTTTTCACCCTGTTATTTGGCACAAATAAACAGCTAATTTACACAACATATGCCATTTTTTCTATGGAAAATTATTAAGTGACAAAAAATGAACTTTCAGACCTTTTTCTCTAGGTGTGTAATGTTAGAAATAAGAAAAATATAAGGATTATTTTAATAGATTTACTTGCCTATAGGTGTGTCCATGGTTTTGGTTTTTTCATCTTTCTAGGTCAGACTCCCAATATGTCTCAGATGCTCAGATTCTTATCCCCTCATATTTATTTCTTTTCTTTTTTCCTTTGTAAGGCAAGTGATGAAAACAGTTTTCGTCTATTAATTTCCTGCCAATTTGCTACCAACATTTGTGAGTTTTTCTTTTCTTCATTTGATTGCGGGTGGCATCTCCCATTGGACATACAAAGCCTCTTCAGAACCTCTTTTTTCACTCCTAAGAGAAGAGTCAAAATTAGGTGGAACTGTGCAAGAGCAGCCATTCTTTGGTACATTTGGGCAGAAAGAAATTCAATAGTTTTCAAAGATAAATGGGAGAACAGAGATGCAATAGAGGAAAACAATGGTGAAGGTTATCCATTAGCTAAAATCATTGGAGATTTTTTTAACATCTCATTATGGATGACTTTTTTTAAAAATTGATTGATACCTCGTCTTCGGCAAGAACCAAACATATTCCGACCACTCAATGTAAATAGAGTTAAGCTGAACTTCAATGCATGTCGGCTAGGGAGCCCAGGGCCATTTGGAATTAGAGGAGTTTACAGGAATTGAGAAGGACATATTCAAGCTATTTTTCCTGGTCTGATAGGGGAAGATGACTCTATTAGAGTAGAACTATGGACAGTTCTTTGTGGTCTAAGGCTGGCTACTCCTATAAGCTACAAAGACCTACAGGTTGAAGGAGACTCAGAGGTGATAGTTTCTTGGGAAAATAACATCAAAGTGGGATCATGAATTTTATATAGAAGCCAAATATATTGAAGTGTCATACCAAATGAAGGACATGTGTGATGGACAGGAATTAGCCAAGGCTAACTACCCAAAAGGAGTGCAAGGACTCTGAACTTTGTAACTAAAGCTTCACTGTTAAAATAAAGTAATAAACTGTATGTTATTGATACGAAAAGGCTCAGAAGCTCATTGGATGCAGTGTTTTCAACCCATTGTTGACCTGGCCGGTTGGACTAGTAGTCTGGTCAGGTGGTCACAATTCCAGTTTGGGTCAACCTATAACCTGCTAGGTTACAAAAAAAAAAAAAAAAGAAACATTGGCTTGGTAAATGATCCGTCAATCTGACCGGTTGAAATTTTTTACAATAATAACATCACAAGTTGATCCATTGGCCTGGATGGTTGAACCACTGAGTCATTGGCCCAGAAGGAAAAGCAGTTCAACTTTCCGAATGGGTTTTAAAACACTAATTGGATGTAGAGAGATCATCAATGTTGTTCATTTATTATTATTATTTTTTGTTTTTATGGGCACTGGTGTTGCTTAGCAAATAAAAAATAGATAATTATCAAATCATACTCTCTGAAAAGGTTTTTGTTGCAGGAAATCTCGAGGCTAAGATATCAGTTATGTCCACGCCATATGAAAGAAAGGAAGTTCTGGAGGATATACTTTATACTTGTGAGCAGTCATGTCACTCCGTAAGTAACTTTTATTCTTGAAAAAAAGACTATTTTGGCTGTTTCTTGCAGTAAAATGCTTTTCTTCATGAATATTAGTTAATTTTTTATATTTATAATGAAAATTTTAATATTTTATTTTGGTTCCTAGAATCAGGCATAGGTTCTATCTTTTGAAATTTTTATTGATAATTTAACTTTATTGATTAGAATAAAGAATGCTTGATCTTTACAAAGATGCCAAGCATCCCTGCATGGGCCAACCAAAGTCACCTATGCTATTTCCTTACACACATTAGTATTACACAATTTAAATTATATCGCTATTTCCTAGCTGTCCCCAAAACAGCTATCCTCTACTATCATATAGGCCATCTGGAAGGAAAGGAATAGCTGATTTTTTGACACCAATTTTTTCTGATATGGTTTCAGTAACAATAAAGGTTGTAGGTTCTTTGTGTTTAAGTGTACAAAGGGCTTTCAGGGGTGTCCAGCTTTTCTCTTTTTTGCAAGCTGGACCTTTCTTTTGTTGACACTTTTTGTATATTCCCACTGTACAGGCTCTCATTGTACATGGGCTGATGTTATGTTTTTCCTCATCTTTTAATGCAATACAATACTTTACCTGTTTCAAAAAAAAAAAGCTCTCCTCTACTGACCCCCCTGTTTTCCCATTGTACCAGTCAATTCATTGGTTGACTTGTGAATCAGCTGTAGCTGACAAGTAGGCCCCTTGCCGACATCCTTATCTCTCGTATAGTGTTCCTGCACTACCATGCAATCAGACCATCACATGTAAGCTAACTGATCACCACTTTGGAGTGTCTTTCACAACCAAATTACTATTAGTTAGAAGACCTTGCCAGCTTTAAACTTTGTAACACCTTGCTTATTTCTGCTTTTTTGGAATTTGCTTGATCGATGGGGGCTGAGAATAAAGCAATAATTTTCCCATTATAGTCCCTAAAACTGTATCCAATCCCAGCAGAGCCTGGGTTTCCTTTACTGCACCATCAAATTTTAATTTAATCATGTTCAAATTGGTGGCCTGCAACTAGAATTCACCAGTCCATATTTTGAATTTCTATCTTACAAATATCTAAAATGTAATTAAAATGGTAACTGATGGGAAAATTAAGAGGAAAATGTTTGAAATCTCCACCGGTAGATTTGCTTTACTGGTTCAGTATCATTGTTTATGTGTTATTACTTTTTAAGTGTCAGTTATTTATTGAACCAATTGTAACGTTGCAAGTTAAGTTAAACTTGTTATGACCTAGTCTTGCACCTTTTCACTTATAGTATTCCAGAGTAGGGATATCAATAGGGTTGGGTTCAGAATGGGTCAGGCTTAACCTGAAACTGAACCTGACTAATGGAATAGCCGAATAGGATTATCAGACCCGCCCTGCCCCTGCCCTGTCCTATGAACACTACTCCATTCTTAGTGAAGGCTATATTTATATTGTTTTCCATATCACCATGACAATGAGCTGGGTGTGGTATGGTCCAGCCCCAACCAAAACCTGACCTGAAACTTGATTAAGACTAACCTGAAAACCTTATTGTGTCAGGCCATTGCGGGTTTACCATTTAACCCAACCCATGTTTCAATGTGTTGGAATCTGGATTTATTGTTTGACTGTTTCTTGAGATTTGTTTCCATGAGACCTGTTTGAAATTGCTTCCATATATCATTTTCATATTTATATATTCTATTACATCTACTGCCCCCTGATTGCTGGAAGCTTTTATTTTTATTTTTTTATTTGTCTCTTTCTCTATTTTTAAGGTGTGGTATGTTTTGATGAGAATTGGCTTTAATTTCAGCTCGTTTGGCAAAACCAGTATGATGTATTTCACTTTTAATCAATTTCCCTATTTCATTATTTTTCTTAATTACCCAAATAGGAGAAAGGGACATTTGCTTGTATGGTGCACATTCAAATGAAGTGCATGGAAACAGACCCAAAGTAAACTATGTTTAACTGTATGAGTTGCCAGCTTTGTTGGGAATTTGGATTATTTTACTGTATCTGGTAAGGTAATCCGCATCTTCATATCTAGATCAACATTTTATTTTATTTTGTTTGGCTCTGAAGATTGCCTCTTTGTGGTTTCGTTCCATATTAGGTATGAAAAACGGTATATGGAAGAGCTTAAGCTGAAAGAAGCAGAGCAACCAAAAGATAATAAAGTAGAAGAAACTCTAAAGGTTGGAACAGAACCAAGGTCAGAAATGGTGCAAACAAACCAGAAAAATAAGACTTCAACTTCAACTGCTGAGGACTTAGACGCATTTCTATTGGGAGATCTTGGAAGCAGTGATGAGGCCCCAGGTACCACCACACTTACCAGTTTCATGATATGTGGCCATTGTTATCATGGGACTTTGACCATACAATGTAGGATATAAGTGTGTGACAACAGAAAATTTCACCCTCATGAGGAGGCCCCTCATTGAAGTAATCATTGTCTGTCAAACTGATGCATATTAGAATTGTAACTTTTAGTTGTTAGCTCCTACTCAGAGTCCACTGATGATCAATTTGCTGTTCTCAGATGATGGAGATGATAGGGACTTTGATGATGATTTTGACAAGGTTGTGGAGAATATGGTAAACATGAATCGTCTCATCTTAGGTGTCTTTAGTATTGCTCTTTGTTTATAAACACTGGCTACCTAACTGTGTGAAACAGATAAGTTTTCTATTTTGAACTGGTTTCAACATTGTCTAAACAGTTTTTCTGACCTGCAGGATGCAGATGAGAAGTAGGGGATGAAAGCAACCACAGAGTAGGCCATCTTTATAGACAAAATAGATATGAAGGAAAAGTCACTCTCTTGTCAAAAAGTTGGAGAACATAGATGTGCTTTTTTGGAGGGGGGAGGGGGTGATGAATGTTGCTCCAATTTGGAGAAAAGGCTGGGAACTGCGGTTTTTGGTGTATGTTTTACATGATATTCTTGTTAGTTCAAATTTAAAAGTGTCCTTTTCTTTTATTTACAATTTCGGTTGAGTTCTTGAATGTCTGAAAGAAGATTGAATTTTCCGTCTTTTCAGGCTAATTAAAAAAAAAAAATCCAGACCCTTGGTTCTGTGAGGTCAGAAGCTGCATTACAGCTGTTTGAACTTGAAACATCATAAATGGGGAATTGGGTCGGGCAAGTCCAAATGTAGGTTTGATCTCACTATTAGTATTACCCATTGGAGTCCTTTTTTTTGAGTGTAAGGTAAAGTAATTCATTAATATCAAAAGCCAAAATACAAAGAAGCCTCTGTACAGCAGGAAAACAGTTATCCACAGATTTCCAACCCTCTAAAAGACCAAAAAAAATTATTGATTCCTTCCAAATGGGAAGTCTGAATCAAAAAAGGAAGACATATGCCTATTTTTGAATAACTGATGAGTTGCCAACCAAGAATGTATCATCCCCATAATTCTGTTAATAACTTCTTCTTTTGGAGTTTGTCTTCCTTCAAATAGCCTATTATTTCGTTCACACCAAACTGTCCAAAAAACTGCTGCAAGAATGATACTCCATGTTACCTTTCCAGACCTGGATAAACCTCCAAATGCCCAAGCTGCTATAAATCCCTTCACATCAGCCGAGAAGCACATCTTAATTCCAAACAGATTCAGCACTCTCATCCAAACCCAATGAGTAAAGTTATAGTGGGTCGGCAAATGACTAGAGGATTCCACAGTTCCATAAGATGCAGCCCAAGTCCACCACCTCTATACCTCTTCTAACTAAATTATCTTTTGTTAAAATCTTATCCAACACTGCTGATCAAACAAAGAAAGCCAGCTTAGAAGGAACAGATCTGATCCAAATTTTGTCACTTGAGAAAGCAGAGGTCTCCTTCCTAGACAAGCTATGGGAGAAGGATTCCACAGAGAATATGCTTGATTTCTCGAAGAGCCATTTCCTCTTGTCCTCTCTTACTCCCTTCATCTTTGCTTCATCCAATAATTGAAATAACCTGACCAAAGAAGCCACCTCCCAATTGGTAGGGCTTAAACTTTTTTATCTTTTTTGGCTCAGCTGTTTGAAGAAGGTAGTAGAAGAGACTTGTGGGAGAACCATGTAACTGGCTAACTACTGTAGAATAACCAAAATTTAGTTCCATACATCATCTAGACACCGTTCAGAGGCTATTCAAGTAGGCCCCATTTTATTCAGGAAAAAAGGAAATCGGATTTGGTCCTCACTAGACTGTTCTCACACTGTCTGCACAGTCCCTTACAGCCTTGCATTGTGAATATCCCTATGAAAAAATTTATGCAAGTATGGAGATATTCCCCCCAATGCAAGGTTGTAAGGGACTGTGCGAACAGTGTGAGCATAGTCTTGTGAGGACTGAATCAATGTCAGCAAAATGCCACGAATCAGGAGAAATGAGATTTTGGTCCTCACACTGTCCTCACATCTCCTTGCAGCGGTGTAGTGTGTATATTAACTATATTCCCTCATAAATAAAAAATTATAAGTATGGAGATGTCCCTAATGCACAGCTGTATTGTAAAAATGGTGTGAGGACAGTTTTACGAGGAAGTGAATCTGAATTTGAATTAGGATGAGCTCCCTGGATTTGGATTTGTTTCCCATGGATCCACCTCATAGCACATTGCAGCTGTGCATTGGGAATATCTCTCCCATGGGTAAGGGAGATATTACTGATGTACGATTGGAAGTGCTATGAGGCTGGTGTGAAGCATGCTCTGTGAGGAATAAATCTTGATTCCCCACACACAACTCACAATACATCCCAACCGTGCATTGGAAACATCTTCCCATCCTCGTGACAAGTATGAGAGGTGTACCCAATGCATGCTGAGACGTGCGTGTCATGTGGGGATTGCTCTGTTTGGAGCACATCTGAATTCAAAAGCCATAGCGTGAAAGCCCTCTAAATGGTTCGGAAGTGAGTGTACATGGGGTCTGGTTTGAAACTGGGTTCACATAGTTTTGGTTTGGGATCAGGTTGGACCTGTTTAAGACTAGATCAGGCACATTGACAACTCTAAAACGGGCATTGGAACTGGAAGTCCGAACCTCCATTCCAATGGTAGTTTAGCAAAGTGGCAAAGTCATTGAAGCCCCCCGGTCAGGCATTCGACATTCCCGCAGTTTGGTGATCCAATATCTCAAGTTGAGATCTCTTACCAACAAAACACGTTCCAACACCCTATCAATATGATCTGACACACTGCACATCTCATCATGAAACTGGAACCCACCATATATGGTGTTGGAAGGTATTTCATTAACAGAAGATTCAGACGATTGGGATTTATTACTCACAGTGTGCTCCTCACACCAACCTCATAAACATCCCACCGTATAATGGAAACTTCTGTAATCAATAATAACATACAAATGCTCCTAAATCTGTTTAAACCGGCAAAAGGGATTCGAATCTGCTACTCACAGAGCACTCCACACATCATCAACCTCAGTACACCCCAGCCATGCATTGGGAACATCGAACAAGTCCGGATTCTTCCTTTCTCCCGTCACGCCCTCCTCATCTTCAATCACATGTTTATGCCTCTTTGCTCTTCTCATTCCGTATACTTCCCTCACAAGTCTTCCATCACCTTCCCTTCTCTCTGCAAAGGAATTAAGACTCTTCACTCTTGGTAGGTATAATGGTACATCACTAGTCAGTACCTCCCGTTGCAGTAACGTAACACTTTTGAAGGCCAGATTTACTACTCACTTTTCCTACCCACAGTGAGATGGAGTCGCACATCTCTCAATTCATAACAGAGATATGTGGCTCTAATTCACAGCGGATAGAGAGTGGATAGTAAAAGTGAGTAAAAAATCCTGAGTGCTTCTGAAGAGGATTCCCTTTTACAGTCTCTCTTCACAGAAGATTATGGGAAGATCCTTACCATTAGATGTCTAACACCGACGACCCAATCTCCTCAAGTGCCTAGCTAAACCAGGAAAACAATTACGTCGAAGCTTTCATGGCCGAAACCGTCCAACTACAATTCCTGTCTGAGATGAGAAGCCAAATGCCTTCTCACATTTCAAATCTCAACTTCAACGTACGTGGAATAGGTTATTATTTGTCTAGATGGAGGGCTTAGAGATGTATAGTTCCATTTGATTTGGCAGGTCACTTTTGTTTCTTCTTCACATGCAGACGAATTATTAAATCCAGGTTTTGACAATTAATAATGCTTCAAATTATTCTATTGTACTATATTCTTTTAGAAAAGTTTTAGTGTTTATTAAAATATATTCAACATGAACAGGAAATGATAAAAACTCAAGCGATCAATGTATGGAAGAAACATAAAAAAGAATATAATTTCGCTTAAGGATCCCTACTGATTTGGATATGAAATGGAAGGCGCAGAGCTAAGAACAGTTATGTTTTTTTTTTTTTTCTAAAATCTTCAAACAGGGTGAATGGTGAATTTAGCTTTAGTTTAATGGTGTATTCATTGATTACCTGTATGGAAGCATAATTAATGCACTTCCACAAATACCAAGGCAGATTATGGAATTATGGCTAAGGGCCGATGGCAGGTTTCCATAATCAAAATAGCTGTAAAGACACGAAGCTATGGTTGAATAAAGAGAAATTTCTGGTGATTAAAACTGGGTTAAGTTCTCTTTCAGGATGCTTCCATAGGAACAACAAGAGCTGTTGATGAGCAATAGATATGTAAGAATTAGAACTGCATAGGACTGATCAAGTGTTCTCTTTCTTTTTCTTTTTTCACAACAAAGAGAAATTTTATTAAAATAAAAAGGTTGACAAATTAAGTAGGTGAAGAGATTTCATCATCAATATATCACAAACCAAACTAAAAATACATCAAAACTAAACAAAGCTTTAAAAAAAAAAAAAAACCTCTAGAGATTACATAAACAGCTTTTCTAGCTAGAAATCAATACCAATCTTGAAAGAGCTTTCCCGGTGGGTTGGTTATAGAGAAAGACGAAATCTTTTGATAATCTTTTCAATATAATGCATCTGCTTTCCTAATCATACAAGGTCGATAAAAAATACTACTGAAAACATTTTCACAAGCTTGTAATTATTTTGGTAAATCTTGAGGTTCCTACAAGCTAATTTGGAGAACAACATAGTAAAGATATTCAATATATGTAGTATGTGCGGCCCATCTAATAGTTTGAAATCTTCAAGCTGGCCCAATTTCATGGGCCTTGGGCTTCAATGGCAGCCTTCTTAGGCTTCGGCCTGTGGACATAGACTTTTATTTCTGTGGGTGCACCTTCGTCATTTTCCCAATTGACTGACCCACATATATAAGTAAAAAATATTACACCTTCTTCAATGCTAGTCAAGGCCTTCATTGCATGACAGAAAGCAAGCTGGTAGCTTATTGATGCATGTGCCTTGATATATAAAAATGTACATGGATGCATTTGTACACCCATACATCTCACCTGGAAAAACATATAATCCCATATATGCATACATGTTCACATGTATATGTGTACGTATAAGTTTTCAGGCAGTTAAAATTTTTGAAATTAGTGGAAATTTGCCAACAGCTAGGGTTCTATATATGTAGTTCAAGTTCTCTTATTGGATGTTTGTTTTGGGTTGTTTTATTGGATGACATGCATTCTCGAATAAGTAGAACCTGCATTATGTTGTACAGTATATGACAATAAAGGAAGCTACTCCGACATGGATCTTATCTTGATGATAAATTTATGCTTGAAAACATGGTGAAACATACCATTATTCAAGTAATGATATATAAACATATAGTATTAAAATACAAACTATATATAAATATATACAGTACAAATACATACAAAATACAAGGTTTTGTGCTTTACATATTTAAATTTGTACTCCTTCCAAATGGAGCCTTAGTGATGGTGCGCAATCCGGCGGGTCCTAACTGTCAAAGATCTTGCCTCGGGCTGGAGCAGAAGGTGCCTGAAACGAAGGGGAAAGAGAGTAATCTCTGGGGAAGAACCTGGTGAGTATGCTCAGAAGCTCAAGTTAGTATTTCCTCAAAGGCAAGATAAAACCAGATGACGCAAAGTTC